ATGATATTCTCTAAATTTGAGGTTACATAGAGAGTACCAGTCTTCTTACCACGAGCAATGACGAGTGTTCCTTTGGTAATCTTCCATTCACAGCCTGAAAAGGTTGCACTATAACCTTCTCCATCAAGCTGTCCTACAGAAATCAAATTTCTTTTGAGGCCAGGAATATGTCTCACTTCTTTCAGCATCCAGGTGGTCTAGTTTGGCAGCTTTAATCGGATGTCTCATTTTCCAACGATCTTCAAGGTTTCATCATCAGCTAGATGAACCTTCCCAAAATCACCACTGACATAGTTCTCCATGATTTCTTGGCATGGGGTGGAGTGGAAAGATGCCCCTGAATCCAAGATCCATAATTCAACAGGGCTGTTGACGCATAGAATCATGGCATCACCTGTCTCATCTGTCATGTTGGCTTCATGTGCGCCGGTATCTTTCTTCAATGCTCGACAATCTTTTTTAAAGTGACACTTCTTGCCACAATTATAACAGGTAAAATCTTTCTTTCCCGTTCTTGATTTTCCCCTTCTGGATTTGGATCTGCCACGATTTGAATTTCTTTATGAAGTTCTCCATCTAGACTCCATGTGCAAGGCTGAGGAGGTTGATGCTTCACCCGATTCTCTTTGTCAAATTTCTTCGCTCAATACCAGATCTCGAACATCGTCGAATTTCAATTTACTGTTTCCCGACGAACTGCTAACTGTTGTAACAGTAGCATTCCAACTGTCTGGTAGAGATGATAAGAGAATTGAAGCTCAAACTTCATCATCGAATTCAATTTCCACGGAACTCAACTGGGTTGTGATAGTGTTGAGTTCATTTAGGTGTTGAGCCACTGATGCCCCTTATGCCATCCGTAAATTGAATAATCGCCTCATCAAGTGAACTTTGTTTGAGGCCGATGACTTCTCATACATAGTTGAGAGAGCCGTCATAAGACCCGCCGTGGTCTTTTCCTTTGCTATGTTGAAAGCAACATTGTGGGATAACGTTAGTCGGATAATTCCGAGGGCTTGTCTGTCGAGAAGAGCTCAGTCTTCATTCTTCATGCCCTCTGGTTGCTTTCCTGAGAGAGGTTGATATAAATATTTCTGGTACAGAAAATCTTCAATATGTATTTTCCAGAAGCCAAAGTCTGCACCATCAAACTTTTTAATTTTCACATTCCCTTTGTCTGCAGCCATCGCTCCCACTCGAATCTGGCTTCGTTTGGATTGTTTCTGACAATTCTTGCGAACCACCGTGTATTAGAACACCTCCATCGACAAATTCGTATCGCCGAAAATATTTTTGCTATTCACGAAATTTACTATTCACATGAATAGTAACCTCACAAAAAATTGACAAGATTCACAATCAAAAGCTCTGATTACCAGGTGTTGGGAAATAAACGAGAACAACTAATTTCCCTATAACCAGATTAGTGAGAATGTGAAATAAAAGCAGAAAAATAATACCCGAAATTGATAACCGAATTCAACCAATTTTGCTTACGTCTCCAGACTGTTGCAGATCTTTTACTAAGAGAGAAAATTTACAGGTGTTTACAAAACACTCACTGCTCACAAGAAAACTCTCTAGTATTGGGAGAAAGAAATGATTTGGGATGATTTTGAAGCTAAATGAGCTAGGGTATTTATAGTTGAAGCTTAGGGACTAATCTTTGAAAATACCCTAAAGTTCAATGACTCAATTTTGTAATTATCCCTATTACACACAAAATAATAAAAAATTCAGCAGCCCCATTTTTTTTTCAAACAGCCCATGTGCTTTTTAATTTCCAACACATTAAGCCAAAGTAGTTATTTGCGTTAAACTTTACAACATATATTATATTTTATGTATATTAGTGTAAACTTAAATTCTTAATATTTTATATCTTAACTTAAATTCATATATTAAATTAGTTTTTATATCTTAACATTAAAAAATATATTTTATTTTTTATATTAACTTATTAAATATATTTTATTCTTGTCTTAACCTAAAAATATATTTTATTTTTATTTTAACTTAAAAATATATTTTAATCTTTATCTTAATTTTAAAAAAAGATATTTTATTCTTATCTTAATCTATTACATAAATTATATTATTAACTTAAATTATTAAATATACTCAATTCTTATCTTAAATTATTAAATATAATTAATTCTTATTTTAACTTAAAACATATCTTTTATTCTTATCTTAACTTAAAATATATTTTTATTTTAACTACAAAAATATATTTTATTTTTATCTTAACTACAAAAAACTATATTATATTTTTATCTTAAATTTAAAATATTGTCATAATAAAATATAAATATTTAAGTTAAGTTAAGAATAAATTATATTTTTAAATTTAAGATAATATTAAACTGTATTTTAAAAATTAAAATAAGAATAAAATATATTTTCAGGTTACAAAAAGAATAAAAATATATTTAATAAAATATTTTTTAAATGTTAAGATATAAAATTAATTTAATATGTGAATTAAAGTTAAGATATATAAAATATTAAGAATTTAAGTTTACACGAATATACAACATATATAATATATATAGTCAAGTTTGAATCAAATAACTATTTTGGTTCAATGGTTGAGCTTTGGTTCTTCAACCTTAAACCCCAAGTTCAAATCCCTTAGTTATCATTTAAGTGCCTAAAATTTTATTTCCAGGGTAACACATGTCATTACACTTAATAGACACATGACAGCATTTGATTTGAGGGTTTAAGTTTATTTTAAAGTATTAAAATTTGGCTCAAATTGATATAATATATAAGTAACCAAATGTATAATTATACTAAATATTTTAACTATCATATCAGCTTCTCCGTTAAATATTAACGACAAATGTCTTAATTGAATGCATTTAAATAGTTGAGTGACGCGGTTGATAAAATTTCAAAATGGTGGACAAAATGAAAAGATGCAATAATTACGTGGTTGAGCCTTTTAGAATTTAATTTTTTATAAATTAAATTATTAGTGCTCGTCGTTATTGGTACTCGTCGAACGTCGTAGAATTTTTATCTCTTATCCTTCTTATAATATTTTGTTACTGTATATAAATTTAAAAGTTGGGATTACAGAGTACAGCTCTGAGGAAGGAACAAAAGTTGTAAACTATACCATTGACCACTCAACTATGTAGCCCTTTTACTTTAGTCACCGATCTTTTAATTTTATCAATCAAGACACTTAACATTTTAATTATGTTCAATCAGACCACTTGCCATTAACAATAGACGGAAATACTGATGTGGCAGTTAAAAAATTGACATAATTAAACATTTAATCCTTAATAGTTATATATTCTATTAATTTGGTTCTAATTTAAATTTAATTTAATAAATTAATCATTCAATCAAGAAGTGACACTTGTCAATAAATGATTGGAAAGTTTTATTTATGAATTTTGATTTATTTAATTAAATAATTTTTTTATCCAATTAGAATGTGACACCAGATTAAAAGGGAATCAAACCTATGTCAAAGGCAATGAAAGAGTTGTCTAGTGCCTAAACCACTAGACCAAAGGCTCACAATGGTTTAGAATAAGCAACAAATAGTATTTGTCTTTTAAAGGTTTGTTAATGATAAAACAAAGTAGAAATAAAAGAAATAAAATTAGAACCTACCTAAATTATAAAATAAAATATCACATAAATTATTAAACAAATATAATATTTATTTTTTATAATTATTTTTATATTTTAAATTAAATTTTAAACTTACAATTTTTTAAATTATTTTTATTGTAAATTTTTCATCAATTACAATTTAAAATATTAGATTTATTTAATTATTTATGTGATATTTTATTTGAAAATTTATAATAATTTTTATATTTTAAAATTTAGAAATTTTAATTTATTTTTATTGTAAATCTTTAATCAATTACAATTTAAAATATTAAATTTGTTTAATTATTTATGTTATTTTTTATTTTAAAATTTATAGTTATTATAAAATTTAATTTAAAATATAAAAATAATTATAAAATAAATATTATATTTGTTTAATTATTTATGTGATATTTTATTTTATAATTTATGTAGGTTCTAATTTTATTTCTAATTTGTTTTATCATTAACAATCCTATAAAGGAAAAATACTATTTGTTGCATATTTTAAATCATTGAAAGCTTTTAGCCCATTGGTTTAGGCGCTTGGTAGCTCCTTCACTACCTTTGACATAGGTTTGATTCCCCTTCAGTGCAAAGTTAGCTCCTTTATTTTCACTTTAATGGTGACATGTGTTACCAATTGATTGGATAGAAAAATAATTTAACTAAATAAATCAAAATTTATAAATAAAACTTTTCAATCATGTATTGACAAGTGTCACTTCCTGATTAAATGATTAATTTATTAAATTAAATTAGGACTAAATTGATAGAATATATAAATATTAAGGACTAAATGTTTAATTATGCCAATTTTTTAACTGCCACGTCGACATTTTCGTCAATTGTTAATAACAAGTGATCTGATTGACAAAATTGAAAGATCGGTGACAAAAGTAAAAGGGCTATATAGTTGAGTGGTCAATTCTATAGTTTACCCTAATTAATAATATAATATCCAAAGGCACTTCTGAAATTTTAGGATTTTTATGTTTTTATATAATCATTAATATTTGAATTATTAATAAATCTATCAAAAATTATTGATAAAACAATTTAAATTAAATATTGTAAAATAATTTTTTTAAAATTTAATAAAATTTTAATCTTTAATTTTGTTTAAAAAAATTAATGTTTTATTTTATTAAACTAATTGATTGATAAAATCTTCATTCTAAAATTACTAGAAACAATCAATTTTATGTATACAAAAATTCAATATCACCTATTTTAAATGTTTTTTCTTCGTATAAATATGACAAAATCTAATGTATATTAATGTATCGTACAAAAGTATTAAAATCTGAGAATTCAAAGTAATACGTTTACATGGTGTAGGAGAAAAATACAAGATGTAGAATGAAAAGGCCAACAACGACGAACAGAGTAGAAAACAAGAACAAGATTTTGGTTACAAAAGTACGAGGACGAGTAATGATTAAGGAAGCTTAATTCCCAGAAATGAAATGGGGTGTGCTTGACATCATGGTTTTGAATTCTTGAAAATCCACCAAACCGTCAAAGTTGGTGTCGTAGAAGCGGATCATGCGTCTGCAATCTTTGCCGCTGTTTTCATCCCACATTCCCAGTCTCCCCAACACGCTTTCCAGCTCTTCACATGATATGAATCCGTCTCCATTCAAATCGAACACCTTGAATGCCTTGGCTAGGTCACTCTCTTCTTCTTCTTCTTCAATGATGTTTTTATTGGAGATGGAATCATAGAACGACGAGAATTCATCAAAGTTCATACATGGTTTTCCCACCAAGGACTCCATCTCCTGCAGGCTGAACTGTGGGTCGAGGAGCCTATTCAGTTCCTCCACGCTGACAAAGCCATCCCCGTTCTTGTCGAGCTTCTCGAATATCCGTTGCAGGTCTTTCTTGTTTAGGGCTGGACACATGTCGTCTATGACAAACTAAACATCACCATTAACATCCACTGCTGAACCTTTCTGATTTCGTGTTTCTTCAGGGACTAACTAACACCATAATCAAGAGGCTCTTTATATATGCGTGTGCGTATACAAAATACAAATAGCCGAAGAAAGTGCTTTGTGTTTTGTACGGTTAGTGAATTGTGAGAATTCAGTTTGTGGAGAAGAGAGGTAAGGAACCTTGCAATACGGAAAATTATTAATGGCAAAAATATATTTTTTTTGACTTGATTTTTTCCACTTTTTAATCTATTTTTAACGACTTAAAAAGATTTTTTAAAAAATAAATCGGTAATGTCCTCAGAATATTCTGAGAAGGAAAAAGGAATTAGATAGGAATATTAATTTGAGACGACTGACCATAATTTAAAAAATAAAAAGGGCATCACATACAATATTTGGGAAAGTTGATTTCCAAGGGCAACTGCCAATTACATACAATATTTTCTTCCTATGGAACCCTAAAATTAAACGCTTGGGATATTATGCGCCACCTCCTGTTTTTGTGCGTCGGTTATATAAACATAAGAACTACGCAAATAATTAAACATTTTCAAATTTAAACACACTGCAATATATACCAAACATTTGGCTTTTTTAAAAAGAATGAAGAGTAGAGAAAGAGCAAGGTTTCGCGTTCATCACCCCTCTTAGACCATTATAACTAGACAGATTAATTGGCCTTTAACTTATCTGAAAAGAATAAACGGCTTGATGTTTCTCTCCAAGCGTTGAAATTCATGGCTTTAAGCTGAACTCCCCAGGTTCACTGAAAGTTTCCTCCAATTGCTCTATTTTGTTGATTCTGAAGCCCCTCGTCCTCAGTTCCTCTGGGAAAGCAGTATCTTTGTAGTCAATGTTCTCAAGAATCCATCCCTTGTTCTGTATTGATCCTCCCACTTTTACCTGTTCCCGGCAACCATGTTATTACGAAGCCCAACTCCAACTTAAGTAAGCTCAAAGTCCTAAATAAAATTGCTTCAATCGTATGTAAAATCGACTTCCACATTTACAGGCAGACAAGGGTCTCATTCTTGAATAAGTTTTTTGAACATTTTCTAACGATGATAATGGATGAACTGTATGAATTATGATATGATTGGGAAGGCAGAGACTGTCAGGCATTATTTTCGAGCGAGACCGATCTAATAAAATTGAAGTCATGAAAGTGAAAGCCAATATCATCCTTGCGTTATTTCACAATATATCAATAATCCTAGCACTCATAGACAATGCTTAAAACACTAATTTTTGCAAAAAAAAAAATTGTAGCAAACAGTGCAATGGAAAAACCAATTAAAAGGGAATAACAGATTAAACAATGCAAGGAATCTACCATGAGTTTGGTGTGGCATACCTTGGCACCATCAACAGAGTTGACGATAAGAGCTCCATCCAAGGATAAATTTTCGAGAAGAATGTTGCAACCCTTAAGAGCCAAGGTAGACCTTTGAGAAATGGAGCAACTTCCACTAACATTGCTTTTGATCTCAGCAAAAGTCAGCCCCCGTATAGGTTTCCATGTAATACGCGGCCACACTTCCACCTCTTGTCCATTGAAAACCTGTTTTACTGGATCCTCCAGTTGGACACCGGCCTGCCAAACAGATTAAAATTGGAACCTCAAAGATTTATCTATAAAATGAGGGTTATAAAGAGGGATAAAAAAAGAAAGATTCTAGACAATGAGAGTTTTAGCAATTAAATTTAACAAAAGGATAATATGACCACCTTCTGAAGGATGCAACTGTTCGCACGATATATAGCCATTTCTCCAGAGGTAGCACTGTGGTATGGGTTCCCTTTTGGTACCTTAAACCAAAGGTTGATTGAACATTAATAAATCAAATCTAATCAAACTGAGAAAGTTACCCAGAATATACCCTGAACCAACAACGGAAACACTCAATGATGACTATAAATATCCAAGCAGGAGCCTTGGGACAAAGATAGATACCCACATGCTGATTGCTTTTAATCAAAAAGTTTAAGGGAGGCAAAAAGCAAAGAGACACAAGCTTAGCATGATAAAATAAATGGAAAAGAAAAAGGCAAAGAGATGTTAGAATGATGAGCACCATCTAAATGAACTGTATAACATCACTATAATCAACACTAAGTTGGTCAAGTATGAGCATTATATTTAAGTCATGAATGTTAAAAGAACTAATTTACTTCGACAAAATTTAGTGTAAAGTTGCAGCAGAATACTAACGGGGTGATCAGCATATTTAAACCTGTATGATGCAAGGGGAACTAAAGAAAAACATAAATGATTTTCAAGCGGAGTTGTTCACCTTCTGAGATAGATTTCTAAAAAATATGTACAACGTCATCTAGATGTCACAGTTTTTCTATATTTAGATATTCACATAAGAACTCAATCACACTGTCGCACCATTGTGTATAGACCAACGAACACCAGAAATAACCACAAAGAATGTGGGTATCTTGAACACAAAGAGCTGCTGCCGAGGCATCTTGAACACCCCCAACGCATGAACACATAGGCCCTCGAGAGGAATTATGCAATTTACAAACATGAGCCGACAAGTCCTTAACACCTCCCCACGAATCAGATGAAGCAGCAGTTGTTCCAACACCCATGAAAGTTTTATCAAACCTGTATTAGCAACGATCAACAAGGTGTCCGAGCTTACCGCACAGCTGACACTGAAACCTACTCCGGCCACGACTCCTACCAGCAGGCGTATTGCTAGAATAACCATCTCGACCACCATGCACATTACCAGAATAATCACTCCTTCCTTAAGAAGATCCACGACCAACGTTCACGCCACCATTGCTAGTAATTTCAGCATTCACAACCAGAGCACCACCAGAGGAACCACCAACCTTTAAACTCGCCATATGAGCATTCAAAAGCAAGCCATCAGCTTGATCGAACGTTTTATCACCATAAAAAATGGACGATACTCCAGTGGGAGGCCATTTAAGATCGTCACTATTTGTTCATACTCCGACACCGGAGCACCAAAGGCAGCCAACCCGTCACACACTTCTTTGACCTAGGCAATGTAAGAGCGCATATTGAGATCCCCTTTGCGAAGCAACTTGAGTCGATAGTGCAAGCACATGATTGTAGTCGGAGATTTGTTTGCAAAAACAGCCGTCACTTTCGACCATATCGCCGCCGCCGTCTCAGCTCCAATCAAATGCAGGAGGATGGTAGGCCAAGTCACTAGGGCACTGTCTTGAGCCACAAACACCTCATATGCATCCTTCGCCACCACAGCACCACCATCAACCACCACCGTCGCACTCGAAGGACGCACATCGTTGATTAACAATTTCTCCAAATGGTCGCTTCTCACTGTGAGGAGAATCTGTTGATTCCAAAGCAAATAGTTGGATTCATCCAAAACTACGCTGACCCATTTGTTTGAGAACGAGCCACCGCCAAGACCAGACCCATCAACCACAGGCATCGTCAAGCAAGAACAAAAAAATAAAACCAGGATCGCACCATGGCAAAAGATACCATGTCAACTTTTATTCTTGACTTTGGTTTTCCTTCTTTTAAACTTTATTTTATGTATACGTTAAATTGGGTAATCATTCCTTACACTTGACAGGCAATATATAGGGATACCCTCACACTTTCCATGCTCACCAATCAACCCTCAACAACTTACCTACCATGGGTTCCACCACTATGATAGCCAGCTATCATTCACACTTTTTATCACACAGACCGTAAACCCCACTCAACAACTTTTGTACCATATGTAGTGGGCGTAAGGTAATTAACGTTAGGTTGAGAATAGTTTTTGTGAAAGATCTTTAATTATGAATTATCTATTATGAGATTCAATTTTACGATTATAAGATTAAGAGTCTTGTGTTCTATTAATTGAGTTGGATGGGTAATTTCTACAGTTCATCAGGTGAAGAATTTCCTAATTTTCAACACTCTTGACCATGGTGATTGTGTAAGTAAATAATCAATGTTATATAGTCCAAACTTGAAATCTGATAGAACTTCTCAAGGCTCAGTACTTTATGCATCACACTATCCACCTAGATATGAAATATCTAGTTGGTCATTTTGAGCCAGAAAACTTACTTGGTTTATATTTCCAGGGAAAGGAGAATAACCCGTCTCACAATTAGCATCTCCATCAGGATGTCCAGTGGCCCTTAGCAGAGGATCAAGTTGATTGTATTCCACATTGATCACCATTGACCTCCCTGAAGTTAACATCAAAGTCACGTTACTGGTAGTGGTGATGCATAAATCCTGTGAATTTGATGCCTAAAACACCTATCATATCAGAGTTGTATTATACATGCATACACAGAACAGAAAATGAAAAGAAGGGGTGGAGAAGAAAGAGGAAATTATGCACCATCCTATATCTTAAAAAACTTTAGCATGAACAAGCAGCACTGAAGAAATCAGAAATTACTTGAAAAAGAGGCCTTATTTTAGTCAATTGTTGACATCCCTAGAGAAATAGGTTCATAAGCAAATAGTCAACGCAATTGGCAGTTCTGGCATCCAATAATTAGAGGAGTTTCATATAAAAGTACCGTCACTGTGAGTGAGTCTTGTAATTCCTCCAATGGCTTCTTTTGCTTTTTGCTGAACAGCAAGAGAATTGACGTGGTAGTGTTTAGTAGCACTGACTCCCAGTGATGCTGGAATGGCCTGCATTGAAATAGTAAAATTTTATTCACAACCAAGTTTGCACTTTTACAATAAGAACAATTAAACATGAAGTGATAGAATTTTAGCAGTTAACCTTGAACAGAAGTCCATTTGTGTCTTGGAAAAAGAGAACCCAGCTCTGACCAGCATCACGCCTAGCAAAAAGTATGACATGAAATACAAGAAATTATCCACTATACCAATTTCAAAAAAGGGGCAGTTGGCATTATATGCAATGTCTGTTGCAGTGCAGATAAATGTCAAGACAACTAAGATTAAAAAGAGCTTGAATATAGATACGAGTGTATGGCAGCTAGACAATATCACATTCACATGGGTAGAATATCAGTTTGTTTAAATGTGTCGTAACCATTTTTCGTCCGGACACGAAATATTTATTTGGAAGGAAAATTGATATGAATAAATGGTTTTGAAAATAATTTGAGAGTCGCCATCGGCCTTTTGGGTCAGGTAGGT